GGATTTCTACTTGTCCAGAGCTCAAAAAGTGTTTTTGGAACTGATTTACTAGGAACTCTGTTTAGTATATAGATAGATGTTTCTAAATCATTAAAATCTAAGGAATGTAAAATATCATCTCTAATTAACCTTTTAACTCTTTCTTTAGAGGCATGGCCTAAACGCTTCTGCCACAACAAAGAGGATTTTTCTCTAATTTTGGACCTATTAGCATTGGAGCTTTCAACATTCAAGGATGAGGAAATACTATCACAATCTAAAGATAACTTATTGTAAATGCTTTTGATTGACTGTATTTTGTGGCAAAACATTGGAGTATGTATGAATATCATAATTGATGTTATGACATACATGAAGAGTGTTTTGCAGGAAGAGCTAAGAGTAAGTGAAGCTAAATGTCATGACTGAATGTTATGACATTGAGCATATGACATCAGGGCGCGCATGTATTAGTTTTATGTTATTAGCTCAGGCTATACTTCAGGAAACATTCTAGGAAGCCTAGTTATCTCAGGCGACATGTTAGGCATGGCTGAGGACAACATAGAAGACCCCAGACCTAATTGGAAAGACGCAATTTCATGAAGAGAGGTTTATCTTGGGTAAACCTAATTTCTCCATCAAGGTCCAAAGCAAGTCTGCTGCTATAAATAACAGAAGGATCATTCCTAATAGAGGAGAGCTTCTGGAGAGAGATTGGAGAGTGTGTTTTATGAGTGAAGAAGTCTGATTGTATCAGTTGTTCTTCACGTGTGTATTGTGTCTTAGGACACTTGTATGCCAAGCAATTGTCTGTGCATGATTGCTTTGGTTTAGTGTTTGTGAACTGTTTGTTCAGTGTGTCACTCTAAGCTTTTAAGCAAGAGAGTTGTGCCACTTGATCAAAGCTGTGAAGCAAGATCAAGGTGTGTTTGAAGTGTGACTTCATTGCCTTTTGTAACTTTGAATTGGTGAATATCAGTGATGTGATTGAGGGGGAGTGAATGGGAAACTCTGGTCTAGTGTTAGGCTGAAGTATCATTGAATAGGTCTTAAGTGAAGAGTGCAAATGGGTTGTTTGACTCTGAATTAATTCTACTAATAGTGAATTTCCTCCCTGACTTGGTAGCCCCCAGATGTAGGTGTGGTTGACACTGAACTGGGTGAACAATTACTTGTATTGTTTACTGCTTTCCATTTACTGCTTAAGTCCAGTAGTCTGTGTTATAGTGGATGTCATAACATCCGTGATAACATCCACTGTGTGGTTGCCAGAATTTCACTTATAAAAGAGATCACTTAATCAATAAAGAGGCTTATATATGCACCACATCATAATCAAGATTAACTCGTTTTTCACAAACTAAACAACAATTGATTGTAGTCCATAATAGTTAGATAAATCTAACAAGGAAAACACCACATCTCAACCAAAAACCTTAAGGTGTTAGGTACATGACTTTTGTCTCTTATAAATCTAACATTTCACTCATTCATATGTAATGTGATACTTTAACCACTCACACTTGCACCCCCACAAAGTTGAACCACGATTTTGATACCACTGTTGGGGAGTCTTGAAAATTCGAGATGATAAATTTCGAGTTTGGCCTAATTCAACCCCATAAAACTGGTTTGTAATGTGAGGTGTGCCACTCTATATAAACCCTTTGTGGATTGTATCTTTAACCAATGTGGAACTTAGGTTTTTCCCAATACACCCCCCCTCCACGCCCAACACTTTGGGCTTTGTGCGTGGATATAAATGGTGGGTGGCCCGAATTATCAATATATGAGACTTGGTTTTTCCAATACACCCCCTTGCACCCAACACTTTTTTTTGGGCTTTGTGCACATATATAAATGGCGGGTGGCCCAAATCGATAGACTCGTGATACCATGTTAAGAAATGCGGTTGGGTCTAACTCAACCCTACAAAACCGGTTGGTAGAAGTCTCACATTGGTTAAAGATACAATCTACAAAGGGTTTATATAGAGTGACACCCCTCACCTTACAAACCGGTTTTGTAGGGTTGAATTATGCCAAACTCTAAATCTATCATGGTATCAAGAGTCTTGGTTTAAGATTTGATATGCCACCTACTATGGTTTCCACTATCGGGTCACCCACCATTTATTTCCACGCTACAGTTGTCAAGTCCTGAGCGTGAGGGGGTATGTTAAAAGTCACACATCGGATAATATATAACCTGAACACGTGTTTATAAGTGGTGTAATTCTCACACTACCAACCGATTTTTTAAGATTGAGTTAGGCCCAATCACATTTCTTAACACAGGAGTACAAATTCGCTAATGTTGCAGAACCACAAAAGAGTAAGTTGTCACATCTCATCTCAAAACCTTAAGGTCTTAGGTAACCGAGTTCTCTCATAAATTTAATATTTCATCTATTAATAAACAATGTAAAATTTTAACCACTCACACTTGTACTGATCGTTATCCATATTAAACATTAACTTTTATATAATGGCAATTCATCCGAAACCTAACAATCTCAACTACCGTATGTCCTTTTTTGTGTCCCATATCCCTCATCAATTTAACTAGTTATAGGTCAGGTCACTACCAACTTACCAAAATGTGTTGAACAACACCAGTTGTTACGAAGAGAATCTCTAGTTGGCACTATATCTTTTTTTTTGAAACATAGTTGTCTATTTCAACAACGTATAGTGTTTTCCACAGCTGTAAAAATTGAAATTATTTGACTCGTATTGTTGCCCACTGGAGAAGCATATAGCTTGTTACATGCACCCTAGTCTGCACAAACTATTCTAAAAATAAAAAAATAAAAAAAACTAGTTACTAGTCTTTAACTAAATTCAGGCAAATGCAATCGTTTTAAATCTTAATATTAAAATAAATAAAGTGGAAATTCACAACAACAATAAAAAAAACTAAATAAAGTGGAAAGCAACACAATGACTTTCTCTTTTATCTTTATTTTATCCCCTAGACCGTCAATCACGGAGAGAAAAAATAGTCCCTGATTTGCTTGAACTTATTTTTATTATCATTATTATTATAAGAAATTATATTTTCAATTGTATAGAATATACTAACCATAAATTGTACTATTATTTTCAATTGTTGCCTAGATTAAGGAAAAGGAATGAACTACTTTATTAGGTTAGGTTAGTTGAAATTCATTTATTTGTATTAAACATGCATTATAGACATTTGTAAAGTTAGATAAAACATTTGGTGTTACCTGCCAGCAATTACTTTTTTACCAATAATAACTAACACCATAGACTTTTGCTTCCAATTACTCTCATATGTAAATTGTGTTAGGATCGAGTTTTAAACGAGACTCTTAATATCATAATAAAAATTATACTCACGTATAAACATATGTTCATTCATATAGTCCTCCTTGACTCGAGGAATTAATCTCTACATTTGTATATAGAAAATATCATATTCCTACCAAAAAATTAACTCGTTTATTTGATTACATGAGCTCGAGTTTGAATTTATGACATCACAGAATTTGAACCATAATATCTCAATTATTCACCTAAAGATGGTATTTCAGCCACTAAGTTATTATTAGAAAAAAATATATAGTTTTGTTTGTGAATTATATTTTAGATAGAGTTGTTGATCCAGAAAAATATATGATATAGTCATAGATACCAATGCCATGCACTTCAACTACAATTCACCATCCTCAAGGCTCAGCATAATGACAAGAGGATCTCTCTGTTTTTGGTGGAAGAAACAGTGATCAGTATATAATTTATAGGTGGCCAGCTTTTTAATCTTGTTTGCATCATAGGTTAGATTAGGATAATGAGTTTTAGTCTATGATTAGTGTATATTAAAAAAAAAAAAAAAAGGTTAAATATTTTGATTCCCATTTGAAAGAGTGAAACTATAAAGAACAAAACAGAACAAATTGACTTGTTCTATCTGTCCACATGTTTCATGTTACCTAGGATACCGCTGTTGATACTTGTGTAGTTTGACACTTAAGTGTGAAGTGATGAAATTCAATATAGTTAACAATATGAATTGTATTTTCATTATTATACTCAACACTTTGCTTGGTCACCCTATATGCTTGGCAACCCTACTTCAAATAAACTCAACACTTTTAATTATAAATAGAAAGAAATCTTGAGATGAAGATTGCTACTGTAAATTGTTGGTTAAATACAAAACAAAACCTGTTGATGATTGAACTAAGTGAACACATCATCCAGCTAATGAAGGGTAATTTAGCAGTCTAAAGTGAACTATGAATTTGTATTATTCCTTGCTAATCTTTGACTCCATTAACTTGTTCACAAAAGGACACTTGCCACTCAACTTCAATACTGTATGATGCTCCCTTCATCACTCTGTTCTAAAATGGTATCTATGAATCATAATCTAAGTTGGTAAGCATAAGACAACATGGACCACCAAAGATAATTTTAAATCTAAATCATGATTACAATTTGTCTTTGTTCTTTTTTCTCTTTAATCCTTTAATTACAAAGAGAAAATCAAATCACAAGCTTTTTCTTTTTAATGAAAAAAAAAAAAGAAAAATAAGATTTATCAGGTTGAACACTTTGACATTAATACGACAATATTTATAATAATTTAAAATAACTTAATTAATTAAATATAATTACAAATATTAGTACAAGTCTGATACCGACTATAGACACATTTTTTTAAAATAAAATAATAAAAAGAAAGCATAACTCTTCATAATAATAATAATAAAACATCTTCTTGATAACTATTAGCACAAAATAAACATGCTTTCATAAATCATAACATACATACACTGTGCAATTTCATAAGTAACAATACAAGGCTTAATATAATTTTCACCAACCAAGTAAATAAAACACTAAATTAAACCCATCCATAATATTAATTACCCTATCTTTAAACCTTTTTTTTTGTGATTTTGAATCTAAAATACATTAAAACATTGAACAACCACATCCAAAATTCAAAAGAGGATAACAATGAACTCTCTTTACTTTGCTTCAATCTCAAGGCTCAAATTCTTCTTGGTCACTCTCAAACTCCTCTTGATTCTGATAACCATTCATAGAATTCTTGTTATTCTCATAAGTGTTCACATTGTTGTTGCTACCAAAGTAACCCTTTTTGTTGTACCAATTCTCAGAGTTGACAACTCCTTTAGATGAGTCTCCATTGAATAATGTTGGGTTGTATTTCTCAGAGTTAACATCGTAAAAGTATTTTCCACCTTCCATGACTCTTGTGTCACTCATTCCTTGTCTCTCACCGTTGTTGTAATTGTTGTTACTAGCACCGTTGGTTTTGAAGTAGTATTTGTCTTTAGCAGCAACATTGTTGTTGTAGTAATACTTGTTGTTTTGGTTTTCCATGGAGTTGTATCCTTCTTCTGGGAACTTTGCGTTGGTAAGTTCGTTAGAAGCGTACTTGTTGTTGTTGTAATAATACTTGTCGTTGTTGTTGTTGTTGTTCTGGTTTTCCATGGAGTTGTATGCTTCTTCGGGGAACTTTGTATTGGCAACTTCATTAGAAGCATACTTGTTGTTGTTGTAAAAATACTTGTCGTAATTGTTGTTATTGTTGTTGTTGTTGTAAGAAGTTGGTGTGAGCTTTGTGTCACTGATTTCATTTGGGTACTTGTTGGTATAAGAATCCTTCTGGGAGGTGGTGAAGTAATTGTTAACATTGTTGTTTTCATCTTGTGGTGATGTTTTTTGATATGATTGGTAAGTGTTGGGAACAACATTGTTTGAGGTGGTGGTTGTGGGAGGGTGGAGACCAGATTCATGACCGTATAAGCCATAACTGTTTTCAGTTTCTGGGATGAAAACCGGTTGTTGTTGTTGTTCTGGTTTGTTTAACGGTTGTTGATTGTTGTCATTGAGATTGTTGTTGACATGAGTGACTTTGCTGAAGAATTTACTGTCTCTGGCATGGATTTGGAGAGAGAATGAAAGGGTTGTTAGGAAAAGGAAAGAGAGGAGTTTAGAGATGGGAGCCATTGATGATAGTGAAAGAGAGGAAGGAGTGTGATTTAGATTTTAGAGTGATGAGTGAGTAGTGTGATTGTTCAAATATCTTTATATAGAAGTCTTTTTCTTTTCTTTTTTTTTTTTACTCCTTTCAATATTTTCCACTTAATAGGTGCAAATGGAAGGAGAGTTTTGTGATGATTGTGGTCCCCTCCTCACCTATTCAAGAGAAACTTTTTACCGACTAAAATGGTCCATTCATTTGCTTTTTCTAAAGATTTGTTGGGATGGATTTTATATATTGAATAAAATCTTGGACCAATAAACTTAGCGAATGAAGGTTAGGGTTTCTGTAAAATAAACATTTAGCGTAAACATTATAGGCAATATTTAAGGGTATGATTTAATTTTCCTTGAGACTTTTCTGGAACGGCATATAATTAAAGGGACGGCACCCCACACACATTATTATATAAACAAATGTGACTTTATAGATAACTCTTGGCATTACAGGGGAGACTTTGGTTATTTGTTTATGCAGAGAGACATCCGGTTGGATTGGACACCTTCTGTTAGACCAAAATGTGTACTAACCATGTTTTCACTTGCTAACACTGCAACAAGTTGGAGGTGATGGGTTTAATTTTTGACAAAAGATATGAAAAATAATAAACGATTAATTACTAAATTTACAATTAAAATAAATGATAATTACTGATACGACTGTGCTAATTGCGGTTGCTACAAATTCATTGTACTGTTGTAGAATTGCACTTGGTGCAATGTGAAAATATTTTAATGCAGCTAGCACATAATTGAGACATCATTGTTATTGAAATATGAGAGAACGAGAGACATTTAGACAAACTGAATTCTGAATAATAATAATAAGAAAGTTCTATTATATATAAATTACATAAATTATACAAAATGAAAATATTACAGAATATTTAAGAAATATACTATGTTATAAAAATCTTTACAAATATTTAATATAGCTTGATTATGGTAAATAAATATCATTGATGTTACTTCTTTAATATAGCTTGATTATGGTAAATAAATATTTAATATAGCTATACATGGATGATTGACCTAAGATGATATGCAACAGATCAAGGGATTTAAGGATAAAATTTAGGGTATAACAGTTGCCTCTATTTAAATATCTTCACCGGATGACATGAGGGATGATAATCTTCGTGAAATCATGGTGAAAGGTATTTAAATATAGATAACCAAAAATTTTGCTCTTAGATGCAATGATATGCGACACTATAGACAAAAGGGACTTATTCTACAAATGCTGACGATGCAATGAACTCTAATGTGATGAAAATGATGGAATGATAAAATGCAAAATGCAGACGAGAACAAAAGCAAACAGGGACAGAGTCAAAACTCTGAGTAACTACTCGTTGGGGGTGACAACGTACTGGGGAACAAAAATAAACTGGGGAAATCTAAAGTGATGGACCAACAGGTTCAAGCATGACCGGTTGACACTTTAGAAAGAAAGACAACAAAATATTCTCACTGGAGATAGAACGGGGAAGACGGCCTCCACTGGGGAAAATCCAGAGTAGTTGACCAACAGGTTCAAACATGACCAGTTGACACTCTAGGACAAAAGGTAAAGCAGAATTCACATGGCAGTAGGATCATGCAAACAAATGCTAGAGTTTTCAGACAAGAAAGAGCATCCAAGCCTCTAAAAATTCCTTAAACGGAGATATCAAACGGGATTTTCAGGAAACATCGGGAAAAAATACAGGGCACTTAAAATCCTTTGTAGGCCAAAATAAATTGGACTTTATGGGAAAATACCCTGATAAGCTTCTCAAAAGAGATTGCCACTTATCGTCAAAAGGGACTTAAACACCACCAAAAAGGGGTAAGCTTCTCAAAGAAAGAGACTGCCACTTATCTGGAAACGACAAAAGGAAACAAGCTTCTCAAGGGAGACTGCTACTTGTTGTTGGAAGTAACGACATGATGAGACTGCCACTTATTTGACAAAGAAAGAAATGATAAGCTTCTCAGGCAAGACTGCCACTTATCGGCATGGTAAGATGATAAAATGATAAGCTTCTCAGGCAAGACTGCCACTTATCGGCATGGTAAGATGATAAAATGATAAGCTTCTCAGGTCAGGTGAGACTGCCACTTATCTGACTGATGCGTCCGCAAGTGCACGGAAATATCGAAGTAATATAAAAGATTGTCGAACCCACAGAGACCAATGTCAATCTACCGTTATCTATTGTTACGGTGTAAAGCTAAGGCTAATGGTTGTCACGATTTTTGTTGGTTTCTAAGACTATTAAAGGCGGAATTAAATTTAAGTTTTAATAAAATAATATTAAGGCGGTCGGTATGTAATTACACTAACTTAGGTGGGTCAATCTAACCTAGGCTTATAAAGGTGTTCACTTAATCTATTCGGTAGAGAATACCAGTTTAAATACCCTCAACTCACACTCTCGTGGTCTTATATCAGATCTTATCCCCAAAGCCCTATGCCTGCTCTCGCTAGCCCATAAGTGTTTAGAGATAATTTTTGGAAACTAAATAATTCTAATTTATCTTAAAGCGCTCTCGCTGTATTTAATTTAAATGCCTAACTTTAGCTATCTGGTTAAAATCTCACACTCTCGTGGTCTTGACCCAACCTAATACTCTTTTCTTACTCTCGTAACGAAAAGGTCTATTTCAATTAAAAAGTATCAGCCAGAATATTAAGTGATTAATTATTTTAGCCTATGGTTATATTTCACCGGTTAAGTTTGTTATAACTACATACCGCCCTAAGGTTTTTAGCTACTCATCGATGTTGAACCAGACAGAGACAGGGAATTTAATAATAATGTACTCATGGCAGAAAAATAAATAAATATTATAAATAAATTAAATTGCAATGTAAATGAAAATACCGATAAAACTGATTTAGCTAGACATGATAATTAACGTAAATGAAAATAAACATAAACAACAAAATAATGAAACATGCATACTGACAGAAATAAAATAGTAATTCAATTAATAAAAACCTGTAAATCGTACTGATCTCGAATCCTTGAGTAGTCCTCCACAATGTCGGCAGGATTCTACTTTGGCGAGAATTAAAAGGTACAGGAACAAATAAAGCGATACAAATGAAAATAAAAAGGAAAGGAAATGGGAAAATAATGCAAGAACGTAAATTTGGCTTCAATGGGAAATTTGGCAGCACTTCGATACGTCGAAGGCCTCCCCTAAAACTCTGAATCTAAGGCCTATTTATAGGAAATAATTCATTCTTCAACTTCCAAAGATCATGGGTGAATTATGGAGGGAGTGGGAGTAACTTCCAGTAGTGGGCCATGAGTGGAGAAAAAGTAGGAGAAAAGGAGGAAAGTGCTCGTGGCCACTTCTGTCTTGAACGAACTTCTGTTATTTGATGCATGACGGTCGTGACATGGCCGTGACGATCGTGAAGGCTGTGACGGTCGTGACGTGGCCGTGACGACCGTGACAGTCACAAATTCTGTTTTCTGCTATTTTCTGTATTTTTCTTCTCTTTTTCTTTCTTTAGTTCAAATTCTCCCCAATCTGCAAAACAAAGTAAATTAATCATATAATAGAACATAAATCAAGATAAATTAATAAAAGTCACAAATAAATGCATGCAAATCAAGCCAAATAAACGATATGATTTCGCGTTATCAAACATCCCCACACTTAAACCATTGCTTGTCCTCAAGCAATCGACCAACACAGTAAAAAGAAATAAGCATAGTTCGAAACAAAGTCACGACGAAACTCTAATCATACGTGGCTGCTAGGCTAATGTTAGATCGATAGGTACTAAATATTAATACCAAGGATATCATAACGACACAATTTCAAAAACTCCCTACTTATGCAAACCAATCGGAATCATGCCATTATAACTCAACCTATAACTCATGCTCTCTTTCACCCCATTTCATTATAGTGCAATCACATTAAGCCCGTTATCCATACACATTCATGGCAAGTAGACCTGTTAGTGACTACGATCTCATTATTATTTCATTTTTTTCTGCAAATATGCTTAAGCATCAATTGAACTTAAAGAGTTAGTACCGTTAGGCTAAGTGCTCGGGTGAGGAGCACCTAACTTAGAAGGAACATGTCTTTTTCTTCATAATATTTTTTTTTTCTTTTCTTTCTTAGTTTCTCATTTTAACTTAGAGATCGTACACTTATTTGCATCGGTCTCTTACTTAGTGTGTTTAGGATGGTGCTGACTGCTTAAATAAACTACTTAGGGATTACTACAAGAACCTGGAGTTTTAAGGTCTCGGCATAATGGGTACTCAAATTTATTTTGCATATTCAGGGGGTTAAGGTTGTCAGGATGATATCAATTTTATCAAAACTTTCCCAAGTTTTTCTAACATAGCCTAAACAGCCTATATACTTTCAGAGTACCATGTCATGAATAAAAAAGTTTTTGTTGGAGGTTAAAATTTTGAAATTTTGAAATTTTGGGGAAGTTTGAATAACAGGCGAAAACCACTCATAAAGACTCGACAGCACATGTAAAGATAGCATTAAAAATAGATAAAAACAATAAATCAAACTAAAAGGCAATAAAATGAAAGCGATAGAGTTCCTCCCCCACACTTAAACCAAACATTGTCCTCAATGTTTCAGTAAAAGGTGGAAAAGGAAAGATAGAACCTGTATGAATGCTACTGCTCTTGCTATCCTTGTCTTTGTTGATCACTTCTACTTCGGTGGCGGGCATTTTGAGATACTTTGTTTGTGTAATTCTAGAACCAGCTCATCATGTTGCTCGCGTCAAGAGGAAGTACTCATCATCAGTGTTCCCACCAGCAGCGACACTCGTAGGAATGTCCGTGGGCATAGCTCATCTTCTCAGATCGTCATCTAGAGAGTTTTCGCTTAGATATAGCTAAGGAGTAACAAGAGATACATTTCTTTATTTTCTGCAAATTTAAACAAACAAATTAAAATAAAGACCTTGTGGGTTGCCTCCCACA